TGTGTTTATTTTGAGACAGAGTCTCACTAAGTTCACCAACCTGGCCTTGACTTGGGATCCTCCTGCCTCAGCCTCCCATGTAGTTGGGATTATAAGTGTTTGCCAAAGCACCCAGTGTATCACCATGATTTCCTTCATAGTTTTGTTCCATTTGAATATATGCCTAAATAATATAGTCAGTTCCATGTGTTGGATCATTTTTCTTGTGGTGAAATTCACAGAACATAAAATTAACCATTTTTTAAGTGAAAATTTTAATGGCATTTAACACATTATTGTGCAACCATCACCTCTATCTAGTTCCAAACATTTTCATCACGCTGAAGGGAAACCCTGTTTCCGTTAAGCAATCACTCATCATTTCCCCCTAGCTCTCCAACCACCAGTCTACTTTCTATCTCTATGAATTTGCCTATTCTGGATATTTCATATAAATGGAATTATAAAATATGTGATCTTCGATATTTGGCTTCTTAGTGTAATGTTTTCTTTTCCCTCCCTCCCTCCCTCCCTCTCTCTTTCTTTCTTTCTTCTTTCTTTCAGGAATTGCACCCAGAGGTACTTAACCCCTGAGCCACAACCCCAGCTCATTTTATTTTATTTATTTATTTTGTGTATGTGGTGCTGGGGATTGAACCCAGGGCCTTGTGCATGCAAGTCATTTCATTTTTAATTTTGAGCAAATTCTTGCTAAGTTGCTTAGGGCCTTGCTTAAGTTGCTGAGGCTGGCTTTGAATTTGCCATCCCCCTGCCTGAGCCTCCTGAGCCACTGGGATTACAGGTGCATGTCATCGTGCCCAGCTTAGTATAATGTTTTCAAGGTTCTATGATGCATCATATATCAGTACTGTATTCCTTTTTATGGCTCAGTGTTATTCCATTGTATGTGAATACTGAATTGTTTATCTATTCTTGTTTATGGACAATTGGGTTGTTTCCACCTTTTGGGTATTATGTATAATGCTACTGTAAATAGATGAGTATAAGTATTTGTTTGAGTCCCTGATTTCAGTTCTTTTGGGTACACACCTAGAAGTGAAATTGGTGGGTCATGTTAATTCTATGTTTAACTTTGTAAGAAACTGCCAGCCATTGCTGAGGGCCATTGCCAAGTAGGAATGACGCATCGAAATTTCCTTGCCAGCGTACCCCATGTTAAATGGACTTGCCTTGGAAATTCGCTGTGACATTGGCATGTGTGTTTGAGAAAAGTGACCCTGCTCAAGGACCAGGGTGGATCCAGGTTTAGGGTGTATCCTGCAGGTTTTAGGAAGTATCTTGCTCCTTGGGTTTAGGGCGTTCAAGGTTTAAGACAATCTGGGTTTAGGGCAGTTCCAGGTTTAAGATTATTCCTGCTGGGAATAGGGCGTATCCTGCTGCCTGAGTTCCTGTTGAGTTCTCGTGGAATTCAGAAAGTATTTTGGGACGTGAATGCGCGGCAGAACTTGGATTTCCCCAGAACATGTGTAGAGGCCGGTGTGAGTTCGGGAATAAAGAATTGCTGTTTGAATCTACAAGGTGTGAGTGGCTCATGATCTTGTGCCCAGCCAGACTGCGGCAAGCCATGGACAAGGTTTAGATTTCCCAACATTTTCATCGACACTTATTATTTTTTCATTTGGGGGGAATAGTCATACTGTTATCCACATTTACTATACCAGTTCACATTCCTACTGTTGATCTATTATGAATTAATTTTTGTACATGGTGTTAGGTAAGGGTCCAACTACATACTTTTGCGTTTAAATATTCAGAGCCCCCATTTCTTGGAGAAACTGTTCTTTCTCTCATTGAGGTATTGGCACCTTTTCAAAAATCAATTCCATGGGTTTATTTCTGAACTCTGAATTCTCTTCCATTTGTCTACATGTCTGTTTTTATGCCAGTACCACACTGTTTTGTAAACAAATGGAAGAGAATTCAGAGTTCAGAAATAAATCCATGGAATAAATAATAAATAAACCTGTTTATAGTAGGTTTAAGTCTTCTAACTGTGTTCTTTTAAAATATTTTGCTATTCAGGGCCCCTTGCAGTTCCATATGAATTTTGGGATATGTTTTCCATTTTTAAAAAAAAGAACATTAGAGTATTGATAGGATCTGAGTGCAGTTCCATACACTTCTAAATCCAGCAACTCGGGAGGCTGAGGCAGGAGGACTGGAAGTTCAAGGTCAGCCTTAGCAATTTAGCAAGGCCCTGAGCAACTTTCAAGACCCTGTCTCAAAGTAAAAAATAAAATGGGTGGGGATGTAGCTCAGTCCCCAGTAAACCCCCCAACACACACACACACACACAATTTCAATAGGGATTAGTTGGGCATAGTGGCACATGCTTGTAATTCCAGCTACTCAAAAGACTGGGGCATGGGGGCTGGGGTTGTGGTTCAGTGGTAGAGTGCTTGCCTGACATGTGTGATGCATTGGGTTTGATTCTTAGCACCATAAATAAATAAATAAATAAATAAAATGTCCATCAATAACTGAAAAAACCCAACAACATAAAAACAAAAAGACTAGGGCAGGAGGATCACAAGTTTGAGAACCACCTGGGAAACTTAGACCATCTTTTTTTTTTTTTTTTTTTTTTAAAGAGAGAGGAGAGAGAGAGAGAGAGAGAGAGAATTTTAACATTTATTTTTTAGTTTCTGGCAGACACAACATCTTTGTTTGTATGTGGTGCTAAGGATTGAACCCAGGCCGCATGCATGCCAGGCGAGCGGGCTACCGCTTGAGCCACATCCCCAGCCCCTAGTGAGACCATCTTAAAAATATAAAGGACTGGGGATATAGCTCACTGGTAGAGTGCTTATCTAGCATGTGTGAGGGCCCCAGCACCATCAAAAAAAAAAAAAAAATTGAACCTGTAGTGACAATTCATTAGTTTGACTGTCTTTTCATTTATTTATTTTATTTCAGCAAGGTTTTGTAGTTTACAGTGCACAAGCTTTATTTCCTTTTTGTTTTTATTAATTCCTAGGTATTTTATTATTTCATATACTATTGAAATTGGAATTGTTGTCTGAATTTCCTTTTTGAATTATGGTATATAAAACCACATCTGATTTTTGTGTATTGATCTGATATTTTGAGCTTAGCTAGTACATATTATTTGGAGACCCTCTTTTGTGCTCAGCATTCTGCAAGAATTTATCTAGGGTGCTCCTCATAACTGGTTCATTAATTTTTCCTGTTGTATAATATTCTACACATAAAGATACCAAAATATATCTTTAGCTATCTTTTCATATTTATTGGCTCTTTTGTTCAATGCCTATTTGTTTCTTATGCCCATATCTATATATTTACTTATTCTTCATATGAATCATTTGGTTGCAAATATCTTCTCCCAGTTTGGGACATTTTCTACCACTTTATTCTGCTGTTTTCATTAACAGGAGATTTTTTTTCATTTTATAATGGATACATTTTCAATATTTTCCTTTACAATTTTGCTTTTATGTCATAAGGAATCTCTTCTGACCTTGAAGTATTGTCCTATTTCTTTCTAAAAAATGTTTGAAGTTTTACTTTTCATGTTTAGGTTCTTAATCCAGAAGGAATTGATTTTCTGTTTATGATATACAGTAAAAGTCCAATTTCACTTCTTTTTCTAGTGGTTAAACTGATTGCTTAGCAAAAGTTTTTTCTTTCTTTCCTTTTTTTTTTTTTTTTTTGTACCAGGGATCAAACCCAGGGACTCTTAACCACTGAACCACATTCCCAGTCCTTTTTGTATTTTATTTTGAGAAAAGTTCTTGCTAAATTGCTAAGATTGGCTTTGAAATTTTGACCCTCCTGCCTCAGCCTACCCAGTTGCTGGGATTACAGGCATGCGCCACCACACCCAGCTTCTTAGCAAAATTTTGGAAGGGTCCACCACGTATCTCCTTTCATTTCCCAAAATGCAACTTTCCCTCTGACACACCAGGTTTACACTTTGTCGGTTTCTGGCCAGTTTCATGCTCCATTTGTCTGTTTTTGCACTGATATCAGGCTATTTTAGTCTATCTCACTATTCTTCAGGAATACTTTGACCATTGATGTTGATGGCTGGATCGGAGTTCACTGTAAGATTCTTTTGTTTTTCTGTTTGAACTTTTTATATTATGATAAAATAGGTGAGGTAGTGTCAAGATTCATCTGGCCTTTTTTCTTTTTCTTTCTTTTTTCTTTTTAAATTTACTGTTCAATTTTTAAAAGCCCCCTGAAGCTCAACATTTAGAGAAACGGACCAATTTTAGGACAGTAGTGAAACCTTCGCCTTCCAATAGGCGTTAAGAGATTATTTGTTGGGGGTAGGGCAGTCCTGATTTTTGTCAAGCCCCTTTCACAGATGAAGTAAATGACGAAAGTGACCCGCCTCTTTGCCCCATCAAGGATCTGTGTGCTTGGGCTAGTCCCGCGCCCTCTAGTCCCTCTTCCTGTCCGCCGGGGACCCTTCTATCTGCTACCCATGTCAATTTCTGTCTTCTGACCTTTGGTCAGATGGAGATAAACCCAGGGAAGAGCGGGTGTTAACATGATCCTGGCCACACTATGGGCCTCCACAGAGCAAGGGCCAAGACCCACAACCCCAAATGTCCCTCGCTGCCGTCCTTCTCAGGCCCTGATTGCGATTCTGCCTCTCCGGATTACCCTTTCCAATTATCTCCCTCGGTCTACCCTGCGCCAGGAGGACTGGACTGTCTGACAATATTGCTGGCTGGCCAACGCTTGGTCTTTCTCACTCGCGCCTCGAAACCAGGACCCGGGCTCCGCCCCCTTTCAGCTTCCGGCCTCCGGGGCCGGGACCCTCCTCAGTCACAAGGGGGCGCGCGCGGCCCAATTAGGGCACGGAGCCTCCAGGATCCGTGCCGCCCCTCTCGGCGCCCCGCCCCGTCCGGCAGTGGCCCCGCCCCTCCCTACGCCCCGCCCCGTCCGGCGCGGCGTAGCTCTCTCAGCTATCTCCGCAGTGCCTGGGACCCTAGGTCCCTAGTCTTGCTAGCGCGCCGGGTTCGGCCATGGGGCCCGCCGCTCCGCCCCCGCCACCTCCGCCAGCCCCGTCGCCGCTGCTACTGCTGCTGCCTCTGCTGCCGCTGTGGCTGGGCCTGGCGGGGCCCGGGGCCGCGGCTGACGGCAGCGAGCCGGCCGCTCGAGTGGGGCGGGGCGGAGCCCGCGCAGTGCGGGTGGACGTGAGGCTGCCGCGGCAGGACGCTCTGGTCCTGGAGGGCGTCAGGATCGGCTCCGAAGCCGAGCCGGCACCCCAGCTGGGGGGCCGCCTGCTGCTGGTGAGCGCGCCTCGCCCAAACCCCCCATCTGATACCCCGCTATAGACCCCGCATCCAGAACTCACCTTCACCCTGGACCAAACCGAGCTGACAGCCCAGCGCTCCCAGCCCAGGCTTCCTAGGCCCCCAGCATTCAGGCTTCCAAAAACTTATATACCTCTGCAATCTCGTTCCCAGACCCTGACCTTGTATTTTCTGTAGCCGACCCTTCCACCTCTCTTTTCCACCTTTCCCTGCCTTCCTCTTCTCATGGCCCTTGCTATACAGATGGACATCGTGGATGCTGAGCAAGAGGTGCCAGTAGAAGGCTGGATCGCAGTGGCATATGTGGGCAAGGAGCAGGCAGCTCAATTTCACCAGGAGAATCAGGGCAGTGGGCCGCAGGCCTGTCCCAAGGCCCTGGTCCAGCAGGTGCAGAGGGTGTATGTGTGTGTGTGGGGGTGGGGGGTGGAGGGCTGGAGGAAATGGTCCTCCAGCATCTGCTAGTGCCAGGCTACCACATGGCTTCTAAGGAACTTTCAGAGAAGCCATGAGCATGCGTGGGTCCCCTGTTTGGAGAATTAAAATAGTATGGTGTTGAAGCAAGGAGGTGGAGGGAGACAGGAAACTGGACCAGGCTCTAGAAGCAGGTGATGGGAATCTGGGTTGGAGTGAGGGGACTGCCTTGCTCAGTCTAGGGAAAGGACTAGGATTTTGAATTCTATAGAGCGGAAGGAATGAGAGTTTCCTCCCTTGACTTCAAGGAGCTTATGGCTAGTCTATCCAGAGGGAACACTCATTGCAGAGCAAGGAACTAAGAGCAGCTGGGGCCACAGGTGTTGAGACAGGTGTGCGGCAGGGTATATGCTAGCTTCCCACCTCTGTCCTCTTGCAGATGCAACGGGCCCTCTTCCTGGGAGCCTCTGCCCTACTGCTCCTCATCCTGAACCACAATGTGGTCCGAGAGGTAAACTGGAGTAGGCTCTGAGGGTGAGCAGGTTGGAGTAAGAGCAACAACCAAGGCCTGCTGACCTCCCTGTTCCCTACAGCTGGACATATCCCAACTTCTGCTCAGACCTGTGATTGTCCTCCATTATTCTTCCAATGTCACCAAGCTGTTGGAGGCACTGCTGCAGTGAGTTGGAGTTCGACCTCAAAGGACTGGGCCTAGAACCTGGGTGTGGAGTGTTCTGGCTCTCCCAGAGGGTTCTCAGAAACAGGACTTAATCTGTTCACCTTAAGACTGTGCTCTCCCTGGCTGAAAAATGGGGGAGGAAATAGGATGGACACATGGGGCCTGGAGGGAGGGGGTGGCTTTATGGGCAGAGAAGACTGGTCCCAGCAAGGAAGAAACAGGATACCTAATTGATGTGCTCTTCCTTGGTATGAGGTGAAAACTAGAAAAATCAACAGCCAGGAAAGGCCTGAGAGCCAAAGTGGAAAGCCTACAGGAATGACATTTTGGTATATCCATGCAGGAATAGGGTGGGTGAATGAGTGAGTCTGGGCCTTTTTTTCCAAGGGCCCTTCTGCCTGCCCCCTATGTGACTTTCCTTCCTAGGAGGACCCAAGCCACAGCTGAGATCACCAGTGGAGAATCCCTGTCAGCCAACATCGAGTGGAAGCTGACCCTATGGACCACCTGCAGCCTCTCCAAGGATAGTTATGGAGGATGGCAGGACTTGGTATGCCTGGGAGGCAGTCGTGCCCAGGAGCAGGTAAGTCAGGTGGGGCCACATATATGCCTTGTCTTAAAAAATCCTGTGGCCGCTCCTTGCCTTGATGACACGGATAGCCCTTCTTACCTCACAGGGCTTATGTGTTTAGTGACATGGTACTGTGGGCTTTCAGTGACACATCTGGCCCAGGGACATGTGTAGTTAATTTAGCTCTTTCCATGATCATCTTCTCCTACCTGGTAGCCTTCCTTGGCTTTCCATTATCTTCATAACAAAGTTCTGACTCCTTAGCCTGGATTTCGTAGCCCTCATCACTTATCTGTTTTTTGAGTCTTCTGTTTATGCTATGGCTCCACTGTGCCAGTCACTGAGCTCCTGCCTCTGGGGCTTGTCCATGCTTGACCTTAGGCATTGATACTCTTTTTCTTCATCTTCATATGTCTGGCAGAACCTTCCCAGCTCATCTTGCCTGCCTGCTTGAGAAAGCTCTGTACACTCTCTGTTCAGCCACAGCTGTGCTTTGCCAACCTTTTACAGGCTTTTAGGACAACCCATAATGTACACGCACGTGTTGGGGAGCATGTGTTTCTCCTGGTGGCCAGTTTTGCCTCTCAATTTCCTGATATTTGGTATTCTCTTGGGTTGGGGGTGTAGTTCAGTAGTAGAGTACTTGCCTAGCATGCCCAAGGCTCTGGATCCAAGTCCCAGAACTGCAAAAAGAAAGTATATCCTCTCCTTAAACATATCTGGAGCCTCTGCTTTGTCTAGTGTGCACACTAAGTAGCTTCAAGTCAGATAGGCTTGGATTCAAATTTTGGCTCCAAAACCTTAGCTGAGTGATTACAGACCTAGTATTTAACATCTCTGGGCTCATGTTCCTCATTTGGGAACACGACAGTATACTGTTGATTTTTTCAACTTTGGCCATACTGCTTTTATGGGGTGTGCCCATTATAAATGTTGGGTGGCCATGGCAATTGGGGTGTCAAGGGTGACTGGTCAAACATTTCAGCCTGCTAGCCTGATGGGCTATTCTGTAGTGGCCACTCAGCAAATCCTGCCACATATCAGTCTGTCTCGGCATAGTATGGGACACAGAACTAGGCAGGTCCAACTCTGGGCTTGTAGGGCCCAGTCCTGGAGGCAGATATGCCAGAGATGCTCTGTCAGATATCTCTGCTGGGATGCCATGCTGGCAGTAGCATAGGACCTTCCAGGTCATAGCAAGGTCACCTGAGCTCAACTTAGGGAGCTTTAGGAGAGCTTCCTGGATCAGGTGCCAGCACCCCACTGCAACTGGAGAGGAGATATAGGCAGGCTCACAAATACCACTTGGTAGTATTCCCCAGAGTGCCCTTGTCTCAAGCAAGAACATCTCATGGCATTAGTAGCCCCCAACCTGGTCTAGAGTGATGGCCTTTAACCATCAAATTACTTCTTAGCTCTTCTCCTCTGCCATGGTGGAAGTTTAACTTCAACATTGGTTGGGAAAGAACATGAAGGCACAAAGCTGCTAGGAATGCCAATAGTTTTTAAATGAATGTTTATTAATAAGAACACATATCCAGGCTGTGTGAAATAGCATGCCTGCATGGAAGAGAATGATGTCTTACTCTGCCACATCATTTCCTGAGCCAGCTTCTCAGTGATCAAAGACTAGTAGCCAAGTGGTAGAAGCTAAGTTAAGGTCAATGTTCTTCTCCCAGTAGGTTTTATAATGGTTTTTCAGTCATGTTTCCCAGCACATTCATTTCATGACTAGGAGAGGCACTGAGGATATAGTGTGACCATGTCAGAAGTGGTTCCTCCCACCAACAGGAGCTTGTGGACCACTGAGGGCAGCAGCAAGGAAACACGTGATTAAAGTGACATGAGGAAAGGGCGGAGCAGGTGGAGACCAGAAGGGAATATCACCCCAGTGGTGCAAGAAATGGGGTCCAGCTAGGCGCAGTGGTATACCCTATAATCCCAGTGGCTCAGGAGGCAGAAGCAGGAGGATTGCAAGTTCAAAGCCAGCCTCAGCAACTTAGTGAGGCCCTAAGCAACTCAGCAAAATCCTGTCTCAAAATAAAAAAGGGCTGGGGATGTGGCTCAGTGGGTAAGCACCCCTGGGTTCATTCCCTGGTATCCTCCACCCCCTCAAAAAAGAAAAGGGGTCCAAAGGCACACTATTTCAGGGGAGGGGTAAGGAAGAATAGTTTCTGAGAGAGGGAGCAGTACATGTGTGGAAGGGCACAAACATGGAAGGAGCGAGGAGTATGGAACAAGGAGAGAGGCAGTGGGTAAAGGAGGGAAACTGTGCTATGGGGTCAAGTTTGCAGGTGAGATCCCCTGTCTGTGGGTGGGAAATGGGTGGGCAAGGTTGAGGACCAAAAGGTCATGGGATGGAGGAGGGGTGCATGAGACCTCTAGGAGAGCAAAGCAACAAAGCTCTGGGGCTGGCTTCAAGATTGAGCGTGTGAATGTTCAGCCTGGATGGAGGGGAGTGGGAGATGGCAGTGCCTGAGAAAGCAGTCTAGGAGGATGTGCAAGATGAGAATGGGTAGAACGATGCCGGGGACAGATATGGCTTTCCTTGCAACTGGGTGAAGCAAACATAGCTAGAGGCAGATCCTGAGGATCATCCAGGTAGGAGGGATGGAGGCTTCAGAAGAGGAAGCCAGGAACCTGGGGGGACACAAAGGCCTCCAGGGCATGTCACCTGGCTGGTCTCTGGCCGTGGATATTCCTAGGGAAGAGTGTGGGGCAGCTCCAGCACCCTTGACACCCACCTCCCTCCCCAGAAGCCTCTGCAGCAGCTGTGGAATGCCATTCTGCTAGTGGCCATGCTCCTGTGCACAGGCCTTGTGGTCCAGGCCCAGCGACAGGCATCTCGGCAGAGCCAACAGGAGCCCAGCGGCCAGGTGGGAGCCAGACTGAGGGAGCCCTGGTGCCCACAGACCTTGGGCCTGCAAGACTGTGGTTGTCCTCTCCTGACAGGTGGACCTGTTCAAGCGGCGTATAGTGCGGAGACTGGCATCCCTTAAGACCCGGCGCTGCCGTCTCAGCAGAGTAGCGCAGGGCCACCCAGAGCTGGTCACTGAGACCTGTGCTGTGTGTCTGGACTACTTCTGCAACAAACAGGTAAGTGCCCTGGGCAGGATCAGCTGAACTTGGCTTCCTCGACCATATTCCTGAGAGAGCTGGAACCACCCCAACCAGGACTTTCTCTTCCCAGCCCCTAACCAGGGCTACAAAAAGCAGAACTGGGATGGAGGAGGGTGGTAGGCAGGCCCCAGGGGGTTTTGGTTTCCCAGTTTGGGTGGGGGTTATAAGCCTGGGGCCCCCCCTTATGGAATCCTGTCCCTGTAGCTTGAGCCCATTTTCCCCTGCCCTTGTAGTGGCTCCGGGTACTGCCCTGTAAGCATGAGTTCCATCGAGACTGTGTGGACCCCTGGCTGATACTCCAGCAGACTTGTCCGCTGTGCAAATTCAATGTCCTAGGTGAGCATCAGGGGGTGGGGCCCTTGGCTGACCCCTTCTATCTGACCTACCTGATGCCTTTCTCCATGTTCTTTCTCCTTCCCTGCAGGGAACCACTACTCAGATGAATAGCTGGGGATTCTGGATGTGGGATGGAACCTTCCCACCTGTACCCTGAGACAGGACAGCCTGGACTTCTGGGACAGGACAGTGGGGTGGACAGGACTGCCAGTCCTGTGGATGAAGGAAGGATATTGCTCCCACTGTGACATTGTTGGGAAGAAGGGTCCTTCAGCCCCCAGGACAAGGATGCAAGCCAGGACCCACCAGGCTAGGGAGACAGGTCACTCTGGGATCTTTCTCTATAATCCTGGGACATCTGTGTCTGCCCTTGTCATGGGTAGCTCTGAGGACCCTGGGGAAAGAGAATGTGGGGCCCAGTGCTGCTGTCTCCAGCCCCGGGAGCTCTCAGTGTCCCTGAGGCTACAGAGGCCGGGTTTTATGCTTATTTATTGGGGGGTGGATTGAGGGAAATGTTCTCTGACCTTTGGGTACCCTGACCTAACCATGTTTCAGAATATGTCTTGGTCAAGGCTGTGATGTTAAACCCAGAGACGACTCTACTGCCTGCTGCCGTCAATCTGGGGCACTGGGAGCCATGGGTCCTGCTGCTTGTTCAGCTGGGCTCCCTTCCTGTGCCTGGCTAGGACCAGAGGCCTCAGAAACCATCCAGTCCTGTTCTTGGTTGGGCTGTGTATTGCTGATCAGGTTACTTGAAGCCACAGGATAAAAGTGGAACATTTTCCAAGGGCATCCATTTTTTAAGAGTTAGGGTAGGGAAGTTTTAATAGTAAAATAAATGTGGATATATTTTAATATGTAAAATTTGAGTGAATGTTGCTGGTGGTAGGTGGAATTCTCACATGGCTCCTAAGGTCCCCCCCATTCCTACCTTGTCATGAACATGCCTTGTATTGTCTCTGGAATGGTGACTCTTAAGGGATTTTACCCCTATGATTAGCTTATGTTATATGCACAGTTGACTTTAAGGTAGGAAAAGCACTCAAGTAAGCCTGACCTTGACCTGGGCCTGTTAAAAGCAGAGTTTGCTCTGGCTGGTAGAAGAAAAAAGGAAGTCAGACACTTGATACCTGAAGGGGATTCAATACAGGGGACAAAAGTCCTGGCCCTGCCTTTGGTGGCCCTCCTGAGGCTCTGACTTCCAGGACTTAGAGAAATCCTTCATAACCAATTCTTAAAGGCATGGAGTTCCTCTGTGAATGAATGCCTGGTGTTCTTGGGTCCTTAATGCCCCAGACCCAGGATCAGAGCCACGGTGGGAGGCTGAAGGCACTGCTGCACTCTGCTTGCCTCAGTGAGCCCTGAGCCAGCATCCTAGCCTCTGACTCATTGCTTGCCTCAGATGCCCTCACTGGTCTTTCCCCTGTACATCCCCCATACCCTGATCTTCCTCTTTGTAGGTGCCTGGACTACTTCTGCAACAAAGAGAAGATAGAGACCAGGTTTACCCCTTGGTACTTGCTGTGAGAATAGTAAGATTTCTTCACCTGGCCCAGGTGCTAGAAGCTTCTCTTTGTGATGTGCTCTCCTTTCCCCAAGTCTATCAAGAGGGAGTCGGGAAGCTCCTGCCTACTGATGGCCCACAGTGCCAGGTCTCTGCTCGTTGAAGACCTGCATGGTATGGCCTCAGCCTCCAGTCTGGGCAGGGAAGGAAGGACTCTTTGTCCAGTTTAGCCATTCTGTGAGGCCAAGATCATCTTGGTTAGATGGCTGAGCCTTTATTTCATTGGGAGTTGCCAGCTACTTGTCCTCTATCCCTACCTCTACCACAGCCTACAAGGGTGGTTCCTGGGGCTGGTTTGCAGTACCCGCCTGGCCCCGGCTTGGTGACAGTCTCCTCCTCAGCTTGGCCAAGGTCCGGATGGGGTTCTGGGTACAGATGGCAGAGTGGGTCATGTCCTCTAGGGAGGATTTGTTGGGCCAGGTGGAGGACTGCCGAGGTGGGGATGCTCGAGACTGGCCTGGCAGAGTCCTGCCTGCACTGCTTGTCCTGCTGCCAGGAGGGTGCCACCTGCCTAGAGGCCTGAGGGAAGACAAGATCACAAAATCCCCTGTGAGCAAGGGGGTCTATACCACTCCATCTGTCCTACATTTGACAAAGACTCACTCACCCTGGGGATGTACTCTGGGCCTGGGCCCGGGATGCTGCTCCTTGGGTTCCCTTGCTGGGAGGGGACCAGAGCTGGTCCTGTGGAATCATCTGCAAAGAAGGCCAAGCTCTGTACCCTACCCACTGTACAAAGAGGGTATCTTAGTAGGGACAGGGAGGGAAAGCCTGAACTCATAGTTCCTTCCACTAAGTGGTATGACCTAGGAAGCTGTCCAGGGCTTTCCTCAGCAGCAAACCCTCAGGCAGGCAGTATATATGGGAAGGTTCCTCTGACATTTGATGGTATTAAAGTCTCTAAGGGTTTTTGGAGATAGAGGACACTGGAACTTTAACATCCTCACACCTTGAGTGAAGTTTCACAAAAGCACTGCTTAAATACCAAATGAAGATGGCTTTCAGCAGGCTCCCAGGCAACCTGAAGATCTTAATGGGTAGAGGCCTCCTCCAAGTCCCAAAGGGTTACCCTCTCAGACCCACCTTGAGGGCCCCCTGCTGGGCCACCTCATGGATTTTGGACAGCATTGACTGGAGCCGCCCATTCTCCTCCTGCAGGACCCGGATGCGGATGTCATTGGCCTGCACCTGCCTCTCCATGTCATCTGTGACGTTGCCAGAGTCTGTGGAGACATGATATCTGGGACCCCACCACATTGGGTCTGCCTCTTGTGCCCAATGGGACAGGACCTAACAGGACAGGCTTGGAGCTAGGCAATGCACTGTGCATCCCATCCATTGCATCTTCATTCTCCTAGGGCCTTGTTCGAATTCACAGTGATTTGGCAAAAAAATGAAAGAGTGGATCTCTTATCTCCAGCACCACAAAAGGGAAAGAGAGAATCCCTTCCAAGGTCACCTGTTTTTGTTGTGCCAGAAATACAGTGAATTTGTCCTAAGAATCATCCAGGCAGCCCTGGATAAGTCACAAGAATTCAGCTTGGATGTTCTTTCCCATGCTTGCTTCCAGCTGTGTAAACCTGGGAAAGTTACTGCCCACTTTGATTTCTGGTTTCCTGGTTTGGAAAAAGAAGCTTCCTGCCCTCAGAAGGGCCTGTCACTTAATGCTCAGAAATGATCACTTATAATGATCAGCTAAATTACAATGCATCTTCCCAAGAGCTCTGTGACAGGATTCACTCCAGAGTCTTAAAGGGCTGTAGGGGCTGAGAGGAGAAAAGAACCCGTTTGCCTGACACTTAATCCTGTGCCAATGTGGGTACATAGCACTCCTGAGCATGGGCTCTAGCACTTTGGAGAGTGGGGGGCTGTGTTTTATTGGAACCAGCTCTGTAGTATGGTTTGGGAAGAGAACCAGAAAGGGAGACACAGAAAAGCTGAGCAAGGACTGGCACGTGATGTGGTGAAAACCATGCACTATAGGCAGCTAGATCCATTTCTAGATTCTGCTGTAGCAACCATAGGCAGTCACCTCACCTCTGGGTTTCCATGTCGCCTCTACACAAGCGGTGGACAACACATAAAGCATGTTATGTATTGTCATGGTGACTCTAAGGTCTGCACTTCTAATTGTCACACCTTCCCCACTACCACGTACATTGTGGACTGAGGGAGTTGCAGGCCCAGTGTTCTGCCAAGGTGAGTCTTTAGTTGCCCACTCAGGCCCAACAATGTCTTTGGCAGCATTCCTAGGACCCTACTTGGGATCTGGGCCTCCATGGGCTTGTGTAGGTCAGGAAAGGCCACCAGCAACCGCTCTCGCTCCCTCAGCTCCGCCAACTCCCGTTGCAGTTCTGAGATGGTCAGTCGTAGATCTGTTGTCACCTGCTCCATGTCCTGCTTCTCCCGCTGCAGGCTCTGCAGTAGCTCCTGGGGCAGGGAGAGGTTCAGATCTGGTCCCAGGATGGCTCCCCTAGGGTCACTGCCCCACCTCCAGACATAGGACAGGCTCACAGACACTTAACAGGTTAGAGGTTCCTCTGATGAAAGGGAAGCCCCCCCCCCCATCTCACCCTGCCCATTTTCACCTGCTGGGCCTGGAGCTGGCACTGTTCCTGCTCCCTCTGGCTCTGCAGGTTCTGTAGCTGCTCCTCCACCTGGGCTCGTTGGGCCTCGGCCTCCTCCAGACTGCCCCGTAGCTCCTCACGCTCCTGGTCCAGGATGTCCAGCTGCTGTAGCAGGGCTCGCTGTTTGGCTTGCAGGGACTAGGTGAGAAGGATGGGCAGGGAGGCTGTGAGGTCCACCAGTCTAGGCCAACATGGGACTAGTATCTACAACCCTCCCAGTTCCTTCCCTTGTGCCATGAGTCTGTGTACAGGGGTCTGTGCACATACATAGAGGGAAAGTGGGCAGAGGGGAGACAGCAGACATGTACACCCAACCAGATCCAGTTCAAGTCCCCAGCTTGCAGACCCTCCACCCTTGTAAGGCAATTAATTGGCTGACCCTGGAAGCCTTCGCTCCCACACATTTTTTTCAGTCATACACAGTCCCTACTAGAAGAGGAATTCTGGCAAATAGGCTTCTCTTCTTTTCCTCCAGTGTCATATCAGCCTGTCATTGAAACTCTTACTGCCTGACTTGCATTGACTGTAAAGCAGTGAGAACCACTGTTAGTGTGCTGAGTCTGGCTCTGCCTCTTAGCTGTACAGCCTGGGAAGCTTCCTTAATCTCACCGAGCCTCAGTTTCCCCATCCATGAATGGGAATGACAGGAGTATGTACTGCCTACTATTGTGGAAGGGAGTAAGAACAAAAGGACTGCAAAGCCTGAAGCCCAGTGCCTGGTTGAGGGTCTTACCTCCTGATGGCGAACCATGCTGTCGACACGGGCCTTCTCCTTGTCCAGCTCTGTGCTGGCCCAGCGGATCTGCTGGCCAGCACTGTCCAGCCGCCCTGCCAGCAGCTGTACCTGCTCCTCCAGCTGCTGCACCTGCCTTTCAGCCACTGCCCTGCGCTCACTTTCCTCCTGCAGCTGCTGGGTCTTTGCTTCTGCAGGATCCAATGAACAAGCATGTGTTGAGGGGGCGGGGTAGGGCACTGGAGCCTTTGGGAGGGAGACCCTGGACTACCTCTGACCCAAGATGGGACCCAATGGGAGGTCACATTATGTCTCTAGGCTTGTGTTCTCAGCCACAACATGTAGCTCTGGACCCCAATGAGGTGGGTCTAGAAAACAGAAGATACTTTCTGGGTAGGAGGTAGTACCCCAACTCAGGTCATCGCCCAACAGTGTGGATGGTCAGGTACACCCTCCCTTTCTCTTTGCCCCAGAAGCTCAGGGAACAGAGATGGAGGATGCTTGTACAGTCACCACTGGATTGAGATATGGCATGGTAACATGCAATGGGGTTCCTTACCCATTGCCTGCATGGACTCCTGTTGCTGCTTCAGCTCCTCCTCTAGGGTGGCCACCTTTGTTTTTAGGTCACATGTTTCTAGAGCAGCAGAGAGAGAGGTCCTTCAAAGGGTCTTTTGGGACTAGCCATCAGCCCTCATACCCAATGCATGCTGCAGAGCAGAGGCAGCCATGCAGTGTGGAAGAGGCCACCAGATGTTGCCAAAGAAGCCCTGGGGAGATGCTTGAGCCCCCAACCTGCTTCTCACTGGCTGGCTGCTGTGTGCCTATACCTCTCTAGGCCTTGGTGCCTTCCATGGAAGTAATGGTGAGGCTTGGACTTGCCCCAGTTCCTCAGGCTTCAAACCATCAGAGGATACTGAGAAGCTCCAGTGCTGGGAGCTGTATCTCTTTGGTCAAAGCCAGAGAGACTGCTCCACTAAGGGGAAAATACTAGGGGAACAAGTTCCCCAGAAGTAACCCTCAATGACCTCCAGGAGCAAGTGGATTAATATCTTAGCTCCCTCCCCTTCTGATGGGACTACTCTGAGGCACATGTACCATCCATTATCTCCTGGTGTTCCCCAGTGGGACTGAGCTCTAGCTGCTCCCAGTGTCACCAGCTGGATGGACATGCTCTTCTTTGCTACCTTCTCCTCCTTGCCTACTCCCCAGGCCAGGTTCCTTCCACGCAAGCTGTGTCAGGGTCTACCTCAGAAAGTGTCCATGGCAAGACTTTAGCAGAGCCCATGGGCACTGAATATCCAGCCTTTGGGATACAGACCTGCAAGTAAATGCTGCCTGTCACACTCCTGCTGGGCCATGTGCTGCTCAGCCTCTTCTGTCCGCCGCTGCCGCTCGCCCTGCTCCTGCTTCAGGGCATGCTCCAGCTTGCCCACCTGCTTCCTCAGTCCATCCTTCTGTCCCTCAGCCTCCTCCAGTTGGGCCCTAAGGGGCCCAACAAGCTGAGTGAGAGTGCTCACATGCTTACTGAGGCGTGCCAGGTCTTTGCTCTGCTCTGTTGCCCAGTGGCCCATGGTGGCAGCTGGTAGTGGCCTGAGCCCCATGCTGTCCTGTACCAGCTGCTGGAACTGACCCAAGGATGAGGGCAAGTTCTGGCTCTGACACAGGCTGATGACCACTTTGCCCACTTCCCAAAGGCTGCCCTGGACACTGGTACATGCATCACAGGGTACCAGCGCTGTCTCGATGGTCTGGGACTGGACGCTTTTGGTGTTCTTGGATGTCCCAGCTGGATACCTCAAGGAGACTCTGACAGGGATTCTCTGTGGCCCTTGGTAGGTATGGGTCAAGCCTGATGTTGGGGAGGGAGGCTTGATGAACTTGGCAGTCATACATTCAGGACTCCTGGCTGGCTCTCCCTTGGCTGTGGGCTTAGAGATGGGAGTCTCTCCTTGTTTTGCCCTTTTCTGGGGTTATGAAAAGAAAGGGAAATCAGGTGAGAGAGAAATGGGCCTGGGAAGTGACCAGTTCCCTGGGGATGTTCTGTAACAGCCTTGCCCCAATGCTCAGACTCTCAAATGATATCTGACAAAACAGGAGTAAGAGAAAATGTGACTTTTCCTGTGACTCAGCTTACTAAGCCCAGGCTTCCTTTCTTCTGCCCCCACCCTCACCCCAAATTTGATGTGATGATATACATGGTATTGGGAGAGTAACAGTGACAGGAACAGCAGCCAATTACTGGGCCCTTGCTTGCCGCCATGTCACTATCACCATTCATTTAATTTCTTCCTCCTCATGGTGACAGATGTCCTTCCCTACCAGATGGTTTGGAGGACTATGGGATAACCCATACCACATGGGGCCTCATCGTAGCCCTACTGTACAGATGAACAAACTTAGAGTCTGAATAGGTAGGATTCTCCTAAAGTCCCATGGCGTAAATGGCAGAGCCAGGAAGCACAGATATGACCAAAGCCTACTTTCTTAACTGCTGTGCCATGTGGGCCTTGACTGGGAGGCTGCAGAGTTTACCCTGCTCCCTGTGAGCAGTAGGGAGTCAATGAAGGATGCAGTGCACACAGTGGCACACTAGGAAGCTGAAGTTGAGGCAGGGTGTGAGGGGTATCACCATTGGGGGCTGGGGCCCATTCACCTGGCCAGCCACCTGCTGGTAGAGCATGCCCAGCCTTAGCAGGCTATTCCAGAAGCGTCGCACTGTGAGCCCCACGGACATGCAGGGCCCTGCAGCCTGGGCAGGGGGCATTGTCTGACCTGAGCCAAGGTTCTCCAGGTAGCTGGCGCAGCTCTGAAGTAGCAGCAGGAGCCTGTAGGCAGAGATGCCATGGTGGGCCAGGATCAAGATGGGCTAGTGTGCCCTCACACCACACAACTGGCAGCTTCAGTCTCTGGGAAAGCGGCCCAGGCATCAGGAACTTGGAGAGTCTCTGAATCTGCTGCTGGGTCAGCTTCAATGACAACTCAGTGGCCACTGTCTCCAAGAAGCCCTCCCTGGCCCCCAGCTCAGCTCATGTGCCTCTTAGGAGCCTCCTGGTGGCAGCCCTTCTGCCTGGTTGTTCCCCGAACTTGATCAGGGAACTCAGGGAGGCCAGCCTGGCTACATATAAGGTATATTCTGAGTGCCTGGAAGTTCTGGGTGAGCAACTACCTTATATCAAGTGCTCTAGAATCTTTACAGATGACACAGCTGAGACCCCAAGAAGTCAAGGCCCTCCACAGCCACAGGGTGAGCAGGGCAGGAAAGATGCACAGTGTAGCCTCCTGAGTGTAGTCAGGGGCTTCTCCCACAGGCTGACCTACTTTTATGACAAGGGAGACTTGGGATGAGGTCTCTGTGCTAATTTCCAAGTTCAAAATTAGAGGCAGGCATTAATTTAAGAAAAAAGGGTGTTGAAAAGATAAGTTTACATTTGCATGAATATGGAGTTATTTAAAAGGTATTGTATTCACAGCATATGCAGGAAGATAAGAGACCTTTTCTTATTTCAGATGCAGGAAAGGTATCCCAAACCCCTGGGGTTTGGGGAGGAGATGCCAACTGCTTCCTGGCCTTGCCCCATCTGTATCTTGGGGACAGTGGTGCCTGCCATTGTGCCAAGCAGCAATGGGGAATGGGGACACATCTGGAAAGAGGGTAGAACATGGCCTTGGCACAGCAATCTGTGCTCAGACAGACCCTAATGGTGGAAGATGCTGTGCTGTCTTCATCCTTAGCTCTGATTCCATTCCTTGAAATGACCTGAGTACATCTAAATGCCACACTGGGGGCTAGAGGTCAGGGTTCCCAGGCAAGTCTGAGTCTGAGGTCCAGTGGTCTCTGGCAGGAGTTACTTTTATATACACAGGAGCCCAAAGGAAGCTCTAGTTAATTTGGCCTGAAGTGGGTAGGGGGGCATTTCAGTAACAACTTCACAGAGAAGGAATGGGTCAACAGAGCTTTGATAGATGAGAGGGGCTTGGTCAGACCAGCAGGGAATGGGTAGAGCACTGAACAGGGGGATAATGCGTAATGCACAGTCACAGAAGAAGGAAGGTGTGTTCTAGACTCATATTTATCTGGCTTCTTATAGGTTACAAATGGTGCTTTCTTACCTACAGCTCCACCAGGTCTCAGAGTAGTAATCCTGCCTTCTCTGTTTCCGGGTGAGTCATGCTGCAACATCCCTGCTGCCTGTCAGGCCCCCATGGCTTTACTGTCATATAAGTTTTTTGAGTACCAAGAGCCTAGGTTGCAATTTCCAGGAAGTAGAAGGCTAATGACCACATTAATTTTTTAATTGTTGTTGTTTTGTATGTGTGTGTGCTGGGGATGGAACCCAGGGCCTCAAACATGCTAGGCCAATAGGCTCTACCACTGAGCTACATCCCCAGACCAGTCATGCTAACTTTAATGACAGTGTAGAAGTGGTGGGGGCTGTAGGGAATCCACTAGCCTTTTCCCAGCAGGACCAGGGAGTGGAAAAACATCCCATGTCTGGCCTTGTGATGTGTAGAGGGAACAATACAGCCCACAAGACACCAGGAAAAAGAGCCTGGGATGGAAACTCTGAGCGATAGCTAAAGAGTCCCAGACACAGAAACCCTGAGACAGTAGTTAGAACTGTGGTGAACCAAGGACTGAAAGGGGTAGGTGGCAACTCCCTGATAATAGAGGCAATAGGACAGCACAGCACTGAACACAATAAAAAGGTGAGGTCATTTCAAGGGTCCTGAGCTGATGTAGCCCCTGACAGGTACTCAGTAAATGGTGATTCTTTTACCCATGTCCTCACCACCTCTAGAAGGGGTTCCTACAGCTGCAACTGGTATAAGGTGCAGATGCTAGCATCCAGGGATGTCCAGATTCTACCAAGGCCCTCACCTGTCAATGACCAGCTCTAGCAGCACTGCATGGGACAGCTGCGTGAATTCGGGATCATCTGGCACATGGTCATAGTGTTCCAGCAGGGCCACCATGTCGAGGTCACAGGCCACACGGTCAGGGAACTTCCAGGAGGGGAAGCGCACAGGCCCAGCACGTGAGAACACATCCACAATAGCACCCTGCAGATCAGTGAGGTCCTTGCGCAGGCTGTCCATGCAGGACTGGCTGCCCAACAGATGTGCCATCCCCACCGCTCCTGAGGTGGGCAGAGAGAAACCCTGTTAGTCAAAGTTAGGTTATTGCTGCTGAAGGAATCTTTGGAAAACCCTAATCTTCCTGGTTGCTTCTCAGCCAAAATTCTGCCCCTGACCTTGGGGAGAAGTCTGTTCCCAATCCCTAAGTAACAGACTTTTCAGGACCTGGTTATGGGTGGCCTGGCCAGCCTCCCTCTCATTCACCCAACCCTGTACCCACCCTACCTATCCCATTATTTCTCAAGTACTTCCTGAAAGCCTGCAAATGCTGGGCCCAAATGTTGGGTGTATACAGCTATGAACAGGAATGTGTTTATCACCTTTCCCTCCTAGGACAAACTCTCAAACAGGGGTATGGACAATTTAAAGAGTTATAGCTACACCATGACAGGGAGTGCTGGGATATACCAAACCACTGCCATCTCCTGCCTAGACTAATGCAGCAGCTTCTGGCAGTCCTACACTTTGATCTGCTGCTGTAATTTGATCAACTTTGGCTTAAGAGATCTGCACCAAACTCTATCTGACCACATCAGCTGGCCAACAACCCCTCAGGACTCCCTATGGCTCTATGGCCCTTGGGAGAAGGCCATATTCTCCCAAGGGCCATAGAATGGCCGCATTCCTCACCTCATAGTCTACCCTGCCATATTCCACTCCTTCCACCATCAGCTGTGAGCAGCAGTCATGTGCCCTGCACACTCATTTTTGAATCCTTGCTCATCTGTCCCAGTCTGAATCATGTTTCTCCATCGGATTCCTGTCACCTAGCTAACTCCTTTCATCCTTGAGGGTACCCAGGAAGGCTACCCAAAGTACCCTCCAGGCTGGGTTAGATAATCCCAAATCAGCCCTGATCCCTCACTGCTGTAATAGCCTCCTCTCTGTGTCAATAGTCATTGTGGTATCTTCAGCATGGTCAACTGGGGCCTTGCCCATTATAGATGTTTACTGGCAAATGAATGATTGAGTACTGAATAAAGAAAAAAAATCACATAGGAAATTTAAAATGCACTGACTTTGGGGAAAAATAAGGTCTGAAGTGTAAGAGATGAAAACCTGGAAACTTGTATGGAGACCTATTCTAACCAACCTTGTTCTTCCTGGCTTCATGGCCTCAAGCAAGTCACAACAGCTAGCACTGAGGACTGGCACACTTCCTGGTCTCATCACCCAGAATGTGCCCATATCTCATACTTCCTCTAGATAAGATACTTCCCTCAGATTTCTACCCCTATGTCCCCTCTTCAGGAAAGCCCTCCAGAACCCCAGGCTGAGTGAGGTCCTCTGTTATACATTGTTTTTAGCACCCTGTCTTTTTCTTCCAAGCATATGCCACCACCAGAATGGAATCATTAAATATCTGTATGTAACAGTTGTCTGTCTCCCTGTGTGTAGACCTTGTCCTTTGAGTATGACCTGACCAGTTGGGCTGAGGCCTGAGGACCAGTTCGTTCACAGGTGCTGGGAAGCTCAGGTACCTGAGGATGATACTCCATAGCTGAAGGGAACTCAGTCTCCAAGAGAACTGGGCTCTGCCCTCACCTCTCACATGTGTCTGCCTACAGTGCTGGAGTGACCCACTGAGTCTGGTTCTTATACTCTGGGTCTCATTCAGTTGCCTGGCTTCCTGTATTTGCTGCAAGACTGGCCTCAAGCTGCCCTTCAGTACCTGGGAATGGATGAAGGCAAGAGTGAGTGAGTGCATAGTCAGGCAGGAGTTCCTGGGGTGGGTTGGAAGCTATCTAGGAAGAAGGCGCTGGAGAAATGGGGTGAAAGGGTGGATGGGATGCATGCTTTGAGCCTAAACACAATGGGTGTGCTTCAATAGTTCTAGCTTTGATTAAACAGCCTACTGTGCCCTACTTCACTGAATTTCCCTCCTTTACATAGAAAAGGAAACCTAGGCTCTGGGAAGCTAAGAGGCTAGCCTAAGGTCTCCTAGGGAGCTGGGATTCTGAATCTAACATCTCTGCTCTTTTGTTAGGTCATGCTCTTTCAATAGCAGCAGTGTCTAAGATAAATAAAATGCAAGGCACATATGGGGTTTAGATTTTGTACTTGCCACTTATGGGGTACAGGAACCCTATCTCAAAATATGGCATCTTGGAAACTGAGAAACAGAAGCAGGAAAGCCTTCTCACCTTCCCTTCATCTTTCTTCCCTAAAATGGGCCATACAGCCTAGAGAGGTCATTCAATGACCTCCTCCTTCCCTTCTCCCTAAAGACCTGGTGTGACAGTTGTCCTCTCCTATATAGCAGATTGGGAAAGAATGTCACACAGGAATGACAAGAAAAATATGAACAAATAGTCCTTGCTAAGTGTCTCCCTTTTTGTCCTATCATACTGTGATATCAGGATGATTGTGAATGAAAATACACAGATGTCTTGGTGTCTTTGGGTCTTCGCTTCTAAAGCCTTGCATGTCATGGAAAACTTCAATTAAATAAGTTGGTATGCTCTTCTATTGCTAATTTGTCCTAGTTATAGGGTCCTCAGCCAAAACCCTTGTGATGGGTAAGGAAAAGATATTACCTTTTCTCTCCTATACCACATTAAGAAGAGTAAAAAAAAGTGGCGAATTAATTTTAACAACATTTCTTTACTTGAATATACTCAAAACATTATTTCAACATGAACTCAACATACAATTAAGACTTTTTTTCACATTTTAAAAATTAAGTCAGCCGGGCGTGGTGGCACACACCTGTAATCCCAGTGGCTTGGGAGGCTGAGACAGGAGAATAAGCCGGCCTCAGCAACAGCGAGAAGCTAAGCAACTCGGTGAGACCCTATCTCTAAATAAAATACAAAACAGGGCTAGGGATGAGGCTCAGTGGTTGAGTACCCCTGAGTTCAATGCCCAGTACACACACAAAAAAAGTCACCTGCTGGGCATGGTGGCACACGCCTGTAATCCCAGCAACTCAGGAGGATGAGGAAGGAGAATCTTGAGTTCAAAGCCAAACTCAGCAGGTTAGCAAAGCACTTAGCAACTCAGTGAGACCCTGTCTCTAAATAAAATATAAAAAAAGGGCTGGAGATGTGGTTCAGTGGTTAAGTACCCCTGGGTTCAATCCCCTGTACAAAAACAAAAAATAAAAATAAAGTTACCTAGTGTCTATTTGACCTTTATTTACAGAGCATCTCAATTTGCATCAGACAGTATTCCATGCTTTTTTTTTTTAATTTTTTTTTAAGAGAGAGGTAGAGAGGGAGAGAGAGAGACAGAGAATTTTTTAATATTTATTTTTTAGTTATCGGCGGACACAACATCTTTGTTTGTATGTGGTGCTGAGGATCGAACCCAGGCTGCACGCATGCCAGGCAAGTGCGCTACCGCTTGAGCCACATCCCCAGCCCAGTATTCCATGCTTAAAAGCCATATGGGCTGGTAATTACAGTTTTGTACAATGCAGATGTAGAGGATCAGATGCTGCATTCATTCAGCAAACAGGGACTAAGTATCCATACTGCTATGTCCTGTATCAAGTCTAGGGACAGTGGTGCATACCTGTAATCCAGCAACTTATGAGGCTAAGGCAGGAGGATTGCAAGTGTGAGGCCAGCCTGGGCAACTTAGTAAGACCCTGTCTCAAAATGAAAAATGAACCAGGGTTATCTTAATGGTAGAGCACCCCTAGGTTCAATCCTCAGTATGGGGTCAGGGGGGAGACAAGAAACAGAGCAGGACATACAGATATCTGTCCTCTAGGAAACAATTATATCTGAGGGTCTCTGAGGGTAAACTTGGGTGTGTCAGATTCACTCAAAGGCTAGGAAGATGCATACATGTGTTGCTTTGGCAACTGCCTCTTGGGAGATAATGCTGCCTAAGAGATTTTTGTCCCTAAGGAGTGAAGTGGAAACAGAGAAGAAAAACAGAATGCAACATTTGGGTTTCCTTCCTGGAATGAGCATGAAGGAGATAAACAAAGAAAGCAAAAAGCCCCAACTCAGGAGGAAGCAAATTCAGGGGTAAAGGTCCTAGAACTCATGAGCTTTCTGGTGAAGGTACCAAGAAACACAGGTCTGTTCACCATCAAATTACTCCAGCAGCCATCTCAGGTCATCTTGGATACCAACTCCCATTAGATTCTGGTTCAGATAAGTAGCAGCAAAAGCTAAAGCATTAAGAATATCCAAGGTTGGGCTGGGCTGATATAGCTCAGTGGTGGAGTGCTTGCATTGCATGCACAAGGCCCTGGATTAACCCCAGCATGAAAGAGAGGAGGGGGGAGAGGAGAGAAGAGAATATGAATGAATATGAATATCCAAGGTTATCTTTAATCATTTCTTTTGAAAACTGAGGTTATGCAGATGTGTGATTTGAGAAGCACTTAGTTCACAGGGTGGACTTCTGACTCCCAGAGAAAGGCAAGAGCCTTTTGTTCACTCCTGTTCAACATTCAGGCCCCTCCTCTTTCTCAGAACTAGCCCCTTATACTACAGGTAAAGATTATGCCTACCTCCAACCAGTGTACTCACTGAAATTCAAAGTCACCACCATGAAAACACTATAGAAACTCTTAAACTACCTACATGGCAGTTGTCATCCTCTAACCTGAAACTGCTAATTGCCTGGATCTCTGGGGACACCAAAGAGATCCCAGCCTTGACTAAAGACAAAAGAATAACCATCTGCACTGGTAGAGAAGATGGGCCTGAGTTTAGACTTCCACCTATCAACTCTGAACTTCATGGTTTTTATCTATAAATAGGATGCTATAAGGAA